TTTGGTTCCGGCGCCCGGTACAAGCCTTATATATGGTTTAAGCACTTCCTGTAAAGTTTGGTTGAAAACGGATGTCGTTTGACGGGATCCGGACCCTAAATGGGAAATTGATGTTTAATAGGAATTTTGAGAAATCTCATTGATCTCGAGGCTTAATTCGATGTTCATGATGTTATATTGGTGATTTGATCAACAAATATGTTCGAAGGGTGTTTTTGAGGTAGTGTGCATACTTGGGTTGGAGTTTCGAGGGCTCGGGTGAGTTTCGAGTAGGTCCCGGGATGCCTTAGACTTAAAAGATCAGATGTTGCAGGTTCAAGAAATATTGCAGGCCTCTGAACCCTCTTGCGCGGTCCGCGAGAAATCGCATGAGGCCGCGGAGGCTTTGAGCGGTCCGCGGTGGATGCTACGCGGCCGCGGTCGGCCTTGTGCGGTCCGCACGGGGCTATGATCTGCAGGTCTTCAGGGAAGCTTGTGCGGCCGTGGTCCTTTTTGCGCGGTCCGCACAGGGAGCTTCAGAGGGGTATAAATAAACGGGAATTTCAGTTATTTTACACTTTTCAAAACCCCAAAACATAAGAGGCGATTTTCGAAACAAACTTTCTTCTCCAAAACGATTGGTAAGTGATTTCTAACTCATTTTCTTCACTCCTCATCATCTTCTAACATGATTTCAACTTCAAATCAAAGATTTTCATGGGGAAATTGGGTGTTTTGGGTAGAACCTAGGTTTTTTCAAGGATTGGGGAGTTGGACCTCAATTTGAGGTCCGATTTCAAAATAAATTACATATTTGGGTTCGTGGGGGAATGGGTATTCGGGTTTTGGTTCGAACCTCGGGTTTTGACCACGTGGGCCCGGGGGCATTTTTGACCTTTTTGGATAAAACTTGGGAAACTCATTTTTATGCATTGGGCTTGATTCATTTAGCATGTATTAATGTAATTAAGTAACTTGTGACTAGATTCGAGCGGATTGGTGGTGGAATTGAGGGGTAAAGCCATAATTGAGACTTGAGTTGAATTCAAAGCATCGAGGTAAGTGTTTGGTTTAACCCTAGCTTGAGGGACTAGGAGTTGAGCCTTATTTGCTAATTGCTTCTTGTTGAGTACGACGTATAGGCATGGTGACGAGTATCTATACGTTGGTGTCTAGCATGACCGTGGGTCTTTAAATTGTGAATATCTGGATTTCGTTGTATTTCCCTTGCCTTAATGATGATTCCTATTTGTTGTGAAAAGCTTGTGAAAGGAAATTGTGATCTATGAACAACGAGGAGCATTGACTCAAGTTATATTTCAGTTGCAAACATCTATGAAATGGTTGAACCCTTTGGAGCATTGGCTCAAGTGAGAAATAAAGTGAGAGGAAGAGAAAGAGTATTTAAATTATTCCCTTGCTGGGATATTATTATTATTGATTGTTTTTCCCTTGCCGGGATGTTGAGATCATTGATGTTGTACCCTTGCCGAGATTTAATTGTTCAATTGTGTTCCCTTGCCGGGATTTCTTTTATTATTTTGTTTACCCCCTTGCCCCTTGTTTGTGATTGTTGTTTGGGTGAGGAAGAGTGCACTGTTTGTTTATTGTGAGGAAAGAGTGTAAAGCACGAAGGGTGATACCGTGCATTGTTTGTTTATTGTGAGGAAAGAGAGTAAAGCACGAAGGGTGATGCCGTTCCGCACGATGTACCATTCCGTGCCGATTCTATTGATTATATGTGAGGAAAGAGAGTAAAAGCACGAAGGGTGATGCCGTGCACATTTTATTATATCATTGCTTGGTGAGGATGAGAGTAAAAGCACGAAGGGTGATGTCGTGCACTTGTTGCTTTCTGTCTCTTTATTAATGTCTGAGTTGTGTTAATTTCTTCGTTGCTGGACGACTTTTACTTGAAATTGTTATTTCCCCCTAGCATGTTTCCCCCTTCCCATATTGATTACTTGTCTCTGTATTTCGATTCCGTTGTATATGTATATATAACTGCACAGGTTTATGTGGTAGTCTGGTCTAGCCTCGTCACTACTTCGCCGGGGTTAGGCTAGGCACTTACCAGCACATGGGGTCGGTTGTGCTGATGCTACACTCTGTGCTATTTTGCACAGATCCAGGTTTCGGACAGCAACATCAGTAGTGTGGGAGCAAGCCTTCAGTCCAGCGAGACATCGAGGTAGCCCTGCAGGCGTCCGCAGGCCCGACGTCTCCTCTATCCCTTATTTTAGTCTGTTATCTCATTGTATTCGAGACAAACAGTTTATGTTCTCTTTCAAACAATTTTATTTAGTATTCGTAGTAGTTCGTGAGTATTGTGACACCAGTCTTGGGTAGAGGCTTATGTTGAATTTTCCGCATTTCTATTCGGTTTTCTATAATTTAAGACTTCCGCTTATTATTTAATTTCGTTGCTTTTATATTATTGCCGATAATTGTTAAAAAGGGATTATGTTATTAATGAAAAAGTAATTAAATTTGGCTTGTCTAGCTCTCATTAGTAGGCGCCATCACGACTCCCGAGGGTGGGAAATCCGGGTCGTGACAGGTTGATAATGGTGGCGGCTATGATTGAGGATGATGGTGGCGTGGTGGTGGGGGTGGTGGTGGTGGTTGAGTATGATGGTGGTGGTGACATGGTGGTAGTTGATAATGGTTGGCTGTGGCGACAGTTAATAATGAATATGTGATAGTATCTTAATGAAATTAAGTCGCTGTTATAGATCTTAATCATACAAACCTATTCAGACCCGTTAAGTGATTGTGAAGTAAAAACAAATAAACACACTTAATGATTAAGATCTGAATAATTAAGATTCAGAATTTAAAAACAAACGCACTTAATGTCTGAGATCTAAATAATTAAGATTCAGACCTCCATTAAGTTTAAACAAATGAGGCCTTACTGCTCTTACAACAAGAACAAACTCAGTATAATTTTACATGTGGGTCTAGAAAGCTACTTACTATTTTACAGATTTTTATTTGTCAATTGATATAATATATTTCGACAGGCTAATATGAAAAAATTAGCTGTTAATACGAATAAGAGAAACTCTGTTATAGCCATTTCTGTACATTCAATGTACTCTACAGATAGAGGAATACATAGAATTGAACATAGTAAATTATAATTGAATGATTTCGTTGAAATTGTTCGTTTGGAAATTTCCCGAAAAGCTAATCATAGGTTCTTCTCTCCATCGGAACAATAGGGCTGTTATGCTCATTACTAAACTTGTTGAAGAGATGAAATATAACCAATGTATATCTTTTTGATCAGAGGTTGAATCGATCATCAGAAGAAGAATTAGGCCAAAAATTAGGATACATTCTGGGAAATTCAAACTTCCAACGAAGAGAAGCAATTGAAAGGCTTCCATAAAAATTCTCGTAGAATCGAAAATGAAGTTTTCATTCTGTACATGCCAGATCATGAATTAGTAACTGCTTTCAATTTTCAAAAAAAAATCCCAATTGTGTCGAACTTTCCATTTTTGGAATAGTTACGAAATCTCCATACACTTGTCCAACCAAACATGACAGTGAGAATTACATTGTAATTACGTTCTAGCAAACAAACATATTTTGTGATTACTATATTGTGTAATTACGGGGTGTGTAATTACTATCCCAAATAATTATACATGTGTTTACCCTTAAAATTGGATAATAATTGAATTTGAATACGGTTTTAAGGATACGTGATATAAATTGATACAAATTAAGAAGACAGATTAATATTGAAATTAACAATAAGAAAATAAATGCAAACCACAAAATTGAACGGCCTTAGCTTATGAGTTTGATCACCCTCGAGCCAAGAAATGTCTCAACTAGTGTTAGAACTGAACAACAAGATGATAAATACTAGAAATGATCAGTGTATTGCTTTCTTTGTGTGTTACAATGTGTGTTAAATGATCAGGACCCCCCTTTATATAGTGGGGGTGTTCTACTTTTGGTACAGTTCTATACAAGGTGGAAAATCTCATGATTTGCTAATTAATCGGCCCCTTCTTGATACGTGTCGAGATTTCCGCCATGATCCTCGATCTATTACGGATATTTCGGCTTTCCGTTATTTGGCTCGGTAATTTTTCCTCGATCTTGCTCGGTCTCTAGGTCATGAGCTTGACGATCTAATCTCGCGCCTTGGTTCAATATAACCGGAGCTCGAGTTTTGACCTACCATGTTTCAGCCTCCATTGGTCAAACAATGGACGAACCCAGTTTCGACCGTATATAGATAGCCTCCTCGTTTTTCGGAGAGAAGATGACGAGAAACAATATGAGCTTACGAACCTCGCTCCGATAGATCATGACGCAAGCGACAAAAGGTCATTAAAACTTCCCGTCGGTCTAGTATCCAAGGCATTAAATGTGTGTCAGTGTTGGTCGATCACTAGTGGTTTTGAACCGTCATTAGCAAACTATAAATATCCCAATTTCAACTCATTCAAACTTTTATGTTCAAAAAAGCTTTTTCTACTCTTGTTCTTTAAGAATCTCTTCATTCTCCACCTTTTGTGACCAGGTTTCTTGAACTTTTTGCAATCTTCTCCTTTTCTTCATCTCTGCTTAAAATTGGCGAAAACTTTTAAGACCGTTCCATACACTAGAAGAAAAATGACCATTAACGAAGAGAAATCTGGTCCCTAAAAGTATGTTTCTGGTCCCGGAGAAATCTGGTCGCGACCCGTCGTTATTGCCTCTGCCACTAAAGGTCAATAACGGCGAGGTTTCTTCACTGGTCCCTAATGTTTTAATGACCGGCAACCTTCTGGTCTCTAGAAACACATTCTAGAAATCATATTTCTGGTCCCTAAACACCTTAAGCATAAGGTATCAGTTGGTCCCTATATGTCTATACAGACCGAAAATCTGGTCCTAAAAGGGATATATAGAACAAAATAAATATATGATTTTTTTGGTCCTGCTATAAGAATATTATAAAATTTATTATACAGAAAATCAATCGAATATCAACAAATTGAATAAATATCGGATTTCATACATATAATTAATTACAAGTATTGTATTAACATCTCAATAGTATACTGTACGACCATGGTATAAGTCAATATATTGCTTACACAACCCCTTGAGGAAAAAAGAAAAACTAACATCCATAGTGAAAAGATATAAAGCTTTACCTTTTCAAAAACTAAATCCTTCAAAAATAAGGCAACCTTTTGCCTAACAGTCCTACCAAAATGATAATCAACTTGTTAACTTGTATGAAGTCTTCAACCAAGCATCTTCACTTGTATGCTAGTCTTCAAAAGCTGTAAAAATTAGTAAAAAATTATCAAGTAAGGAATACTTCAAAAATCGACCATAAAAAGTTAATTAAATAATGAGGCGATTATTGTTGCTAAATTGAACAACATGTTCTGAAGCCAACAACAATATAGCCAAGCTTAATTAATAAGAAACTAGAAAAGTAAAAGAAGAAAAGGAACAACCATGCTCTAAAAATAAGAAACTAGTAGAAACGGTAAGGAAATGAGAAAGTTCATCAATGACAGCGAAGCAATGAATCTCAAAATATTCAAATGATCTCCATGGAATGAACACACAGAAAAAATGGCAATCTTGCTTAGATGAGAGGTAAATAGATGGAATTTATTTATCAATATTACACTCCAAGATCCAAGTGACACTTAGCCTAAGGAACAAAATTAAAGTTTAAAATGCCATTGGTAGAGATAAACTATACCATCTTCTTTCAACATCCTTTCTAGTGGTATATGGTAGAAGATTCTAATATTAGTTAGGAAAGCTTGAGTTTAATGAAAAAGGAACAAACTCAATTAAATAATTTGCTTCAGAGGTTTCAGTTATATTGCTCATCAATGCATCGATCATATATACATATAATAGTGAATAAATGGAATAACAAAATTATCTGTTTATAACAATCTACACTGATGAGATAAAATGCATTCTAATGAAGCCCAATACATACCAATCAAATGCTAACAATGAACGAATACTGCAAAATAATCTTATACCCACTCCACTGATAGCTCAAGTATTAGATACAGTCGGCCATATTTTTCCATCACCACAGTAGAACCCAAGAGAATGAATCAGTAATCTAAATTTGGATATTCCAGGTTCATAAAAGTTCATTCACTTCAAATATAACTAACGCATGCACTTAAATCACGAGGATTCACTTTTTATTTTTAATTGACTCATTTTTACATTAGCATATAAATACCAAGATTGATAGAACTTATAAAATAGCCAATTGTAAATCACAAAGCACTATCTTAAATGGTTAGAAGCAATCAATCTGACAATCTGACAATGGTTCTCCAAAACTTTAGCAAGATGATGAGATTATCATAGCCAGTGGCGGATCAAGAGTATAGTTACTGGGTTCGCGGGAACCCAGTAACTTTTGCGTAGACCCTGTATTTTTATTAATAAATTCATTAAATATCTATAAATATCTAGCTGTGAACCCAGTTATTATTATATATTAATTTGAGATTACGACAGGAACCCATAAACTTTAAATCCTGGATCCGCCTCTGATCATAGCTTAGTACTACCCAAAACATGCAAACAAGTCCGAAAAATAATTACTCAAACTACACCAATAATGATTCAAGAAAAAGGATAATGGAATTCATACTTGAGTTAGAATCAATAGGACTTGCATGATCTTGATGCATGCGTTTCAATCAAGCAACACTTTCGACTAAATAATCTTATTAGTTATCAAGAAAATAGTCTTGTTTTTTCTCCCCATAGTGGGTCATCCACCCCAAAGAATAGCTGTATAAAATTAAGAAGTTCAATGAATAAAATTTTATGTACCCAAGATAAAAATTACCCAGTGAATGTTGAAAAAAAAAAATAGAAAACGCATAACAGGAGATGGAACAAAGAGTATTTGAACTCCAAAAAGCTTCAATATATCAGAGTCATCTTTCAAAGATTTCAATAAATAAAATTTTTACCATACTCCACCACTAAAAGTACTATTCTCCAACAGCCAATTGTTAACTGAAATAAATTTTGCACCCAAGAAGATAAGGTGAAAAGCAAGCCCCTCTCATTCTTTGTCTCTGGTTTTGAGCTTCTAAGGTTTAACGTTTCACTGTCATATGCATGTAACTTTAAGAGTTTCCTTCTTTCAACAGATAAAAGTTCCAACGACTGTTAACAATTCCTTTCTGGCTTGGAAGAATAACAAATATTTGCTACGGCAAAGAAAGAGAATGGAATATACATGGCATAATTGTTTAACAAGCTTACATGTACATGTTTCAAAAACTTTTTATCGCTCAAGAGTGAGCATCTTGTGTAGAAAATTTGCTATGTCCCTCACAAATCTTTTCTTTTTATACTCCTAATGTAAGAAGCTATATGTAATGAATAGAAACAGAGAAAAACAAATGCAACCCATTAAAGTCGCCCTTTTCCTTCTGTAGAAAACGTAAATATAACCATAAACAGTATAATTTTACACCTAAATCAAGAAAACAACTGCAAAGCCATGAGAAAGAACCTATCATGGAGTGTGGAAGACCACCAAATTTTCTTGGCAAATCTAATCCTCCATCGAGTTCCCGTAAATTCACAATTTCTGCAATAGCTAAATCTAGTCTTGAATAGGACATCAATCTCATTATGGCGCAGTCACCATTCAAATCACTGAACCAACAAAATAAAAATTATACAATGATTTTAAATACAAAACAACAAAACTGTTAAGGTTCTCAATTCTCAGCCACGCAAAGGTATGTATCATTTTTCTTTCCTTTTTGAGAGTGAATTAAGTAGATGAATATCTTGTGAGAGAGATTCATTCTGCCTAGCCAAACCATAGCTAGAAGGAGCCACAAGCAGATGAACTAGTTTCATAAAGCGGCGTTATATCGGTCAAACAAACAGAGAGTTCCGAAAGGGTTACCTGACACAGTTGAACTCCTAAAGCTTTAAATCTTCACTAATTATAAGTTCACAAAAAGGGTGGAACCCAACCCTAAAAAACTTCAACAGACCATAGCTGAAGAACCAGATCTAGAAAAGCCAAGTAAACTCTAGCTTCTATTCGACAACGTAACCCAATATTAGAAGCAAACGATAACAGCTAAACTAAAAACCTATTTCGAATTAAATTGAAAATACTTTAAAGAGATCCTAACCCACAAAATGGAGAATTTCACAAAATAAATAAGAACCCCTTGAAGCTTCAATACAAAATATAGAAAAAAGAAAAATATGTAGATTGAAAGATGAGAAAGAACAGAACCTGAGAAATTGCAGCTTGAATAAAGAGATTTAAGGCTGAGAGAAAATTTTAGAGGGCGAGAGTCATTCTTTTGGAGATGAATTTGAGAGATGGAGGAGTCACGAGGGTTTAGGCCCTTTAGGATTTTAGTGAGATGAGAGGAGTTACAGTCCGAGTGTTTTTACGTTTTTTTCATTTTTCTAGATGCATAACTAAGTGGCGCTTTTCCTCAATTAAAGTATAGGGACCAGAATTTTATATTTTATGGACCAGAACTTGTTACGTCGTTAAATAAAAAGATAAAATGGGAAAACAATGACTAGAGAAATATCTCGTCCCAATAAGTATACTTTTAGGGACTAGATTATTAACTCATCGCTAAAACTTGGTCGCAAATAAGACTTTTCGTTGTAGTGATAGAAAGAAAAAGCCTCATCATCACGGCCTGTCGGCGATGGGACTACGGCAGAGCCACTCCCTGAGGAGTTTGTTCCAGAAGAGTGCCTGATCGGTGCTGATTTCAAGATCGAAAAACTTACTCGATACCGGGTCGATGTGAGCCGATCTCGAGATAGATATGCACTATCACCAATGATCTCCTCCCCAAAGTCAAAGAGGATTGTAACTAGGCCGATAAACATGTGGCGATGCCCTCGCCTGAGGAATCAATTACTACCCACGTAGAAAGCTTTTTAAGTGTTTACACTTACCCCTTCATGTTGGGTCCTTAGACCCTATCATTACTGCCTTCTGTAAAAGGTACGAAGTAACCCTCAGTCAAATTCACCCCTCTTTCTGGACGATAGTGATCATTCTTCATTTTTTTGTGAGAAAAAACGAGGGATGTGCCTTTACCCTCAATCATCTTATGCGCATGTACAGTACCCGACTATATCGAGGGGGATTAATCAAACTTGCTCTCCGGGGTAACTAGGGCTCCGTTCTCGAGCATAGATGAGGATCGGGACCAAGGCTGGATGGGCCGATTAGTTCGAGTGAGGACCTCGGACTTGATCCCTGCCGAGGATATGCCATTTCCCGAGAACTGGAACATGAAGCGTAAGTATAACTTCTCTGTTATTATTGTTTCTTTCCTTTCCTTCCTTCTTATCGGTGTTTTTGCGGTGTAGCCGTGTCTCGAATTCTGGATGCAATTCCCCATTTCAAGGAATGGGTCGAGGGTCTCGTGTCACAGAGACCATATTCCGAGCGCACATGGCGCGAATTATCGAAGGGTCGATGGGAGACCCGTAATCATGGTAAGTTTTCTTTTTCGATTCAATAATGTTTGATTTTCTCCCTGCACTATCGAATCCTTCTTGGCTCTGTTTTTCTTTTGTAGGTCTCCCCGAAGATGTTGCTATGAGGCCTCCATCCGTTGATGAGGATGTTCCTCTCGAGTCCCCTGCTCTGAGGCAGGGAGATGAAATGAAGAGAAAAGGGGCCCCGAGTTCCCTGAACTCGGAGAAGAAAAACCGAAGAAGAGGTCGCGCAAGCCTAAGGGAAGCACCGGTGCTCTATCCTCAGACTCAATCCACCGTCTAAGGGATGAGTCCGAAGAAGAAGAAGAAGAAGAAGAAGAAGAAGAAGAAGAAGAAGAAGAAGAAGAAGATAAATCCAAGCTGGTGGTCCGCGTGCGGGCCGGAAATCACGATACAAGAGGCTTCCGAACCGGCGAGCGCTAAAGTTGAACCACCTTGGCATGAGGAGGTCGACGAGGGAAGTCTAGCCATTGTTCCCGAACAAGAAGGTGGTAAGGCCACGCCGCCCCTAGCTAGAGAGGTCTAGAGGGAGACCGGGGCTGATATTCCTCGAGCAGAGAAAAATGCCCTGAAAGATGTGCTCGGGGTGATTGACATTATCGGATCTCCTCAGTTCTCAGATGCCATGATCTATGAGGCCGGTATGTTAGAAAGTCTTGCTTACGAGGGGCCTCAGGGAGCGACAGATATCCACACCTTTTTAGATGGGTTAGAGTCTACTGCCTCAGAGGATGTCATTGGGCTCCGAGATTTACCGATGCTAAAGAAGGTACCATCGTCGGGAGCTAGTGGGTCTTGCTCGAGCCCAAAATTAGTAGACCGGTTCCCGGCCCCAAGTGTCGACCCTGACCGAAGACGGTCAATAGTTTTCTCGGTTCCGGAGGATGCCCGAGTTTTCTCTGCCCCCGTGGAGGTCGCTAGCTACCTTCGGTGTTTGGTAACCGAAGAAGATCAGGCAGTAATGGACACGGTGGAAACCCCCTTCCTATTCAATGAAGCTCAACAAGCATTAAATCGAGTAACTTTGTGTGCCTTTCTCCTAATGTATTTTAAATTTAAAGTTGTAAATAACCATAAGACCTTCCTTTTTGTTTGCAGGCTTTGGTGCTGCACCATGAGACTTTCCTCCGATACCGGGAGGAATTAACTCATCACGAGTCCGAGGTTGGGTCTCACTGAGAAGAGGAACACCTGCAATCTTCTCAGTGAGAAGCTTCTGGCCGAGTTAGAATCGGCTCGGAGGGAGCATACCGAGATGGCCGAGCAAGTAATTCGAGTACTTCACGATAGTGAAGACAAAATGGACATAGTGACTAACGATACGATCCTGCAGTTCCGATAGAGGCTTGAACAGATCGGGCAGCTCAAGGCACAAGTAGATACAATTCAACCCGAGGCTGAGGAGTTCAAGAAAAATATGTACATCTTAGCCTCAAAAAAAGAATATGTCCAAGAACAACTGGAGTCGACCGAGACCCAACTCCGGGCTGCAAAAGATAAGATCTCGGTACAGGTCAAGAAAATCGAGGAGCTTCAATCCCAATTGGACTCAGCTATTTCTGATAAAGAGAATTTGGCCAAGGAACTCGAGGCAGCCAAATTAGAGGTGGTTGTGGCCAAGACCGAGGCTAACGCTAAAGCAGCTCTGTACAAGGCTGACGCCGAGGCGATTCAGGCGCAGGCTAAAAGTATGGTGGAGCATGCAAGGTGGCAAGATCGAAGGGAAGCCCTCGAGGGGGCCCATGCTCATAACTTCGATATACTGGCTGAAATCGAGAATGCCAAAGCAGAAGAAGCCAGGGCCCAGAAACTGGCCTTTCCCGAGGAAGATTTCGAGAGTTTAAGCGAGTCTGAAGGCGGGGAAGATCCCGAGGATGAAGATGCTGCCTCCGATGAAGGCCGGGCCACTTAGGACATTATATGTTTTTATTTTTTGCTTCTTTGCATCTTTTTAGGCCGTTTCGACCGTTGTAGGTTTTTATATTAAGCCATTCTGGCCTTTATAAAAAGACTATTGGGTAAATATATATATAAGGCTTTTTTTCCCTTTAGGGTTTCAAATTTTTCCTTTGCTTCATTACTTGTATTCACAAAGGTCGGAATGCATTAACATAAAATAACTTAGGTTGTGAAAGTTCGAACAAACCCTGCCTTTACATTATTCTATTTTGAAGCGTCTTGGGGGTTCGGTGTTACCGGGAACTTTCTCCCAAAGTAGGTAACTCAAATTTGTCGAGGGTAGCCTTTAGAACCGGTTATGAAAAATTTCTTTTTGAAGGCCTATCTTTTGTTACGATTCTCAAACGTCTTCGAGCCGTGTAAATGTGCCCGTAGCCTTTTAGTTCGGGCATCGCCTAGTGGGCTTGCTTTCCCGCATTTACAGGCTTGCCTAAGTTAACAGTCCCCGAGTGGGTATGGTCGTGGCCTTTAAAGTTCGGAGGTTGCCTAAGAGGTCTTAAGCCCCCCATGTTTAATAGCTAGATCTGCTCGAGTTTGTTTTCGAACGGCAGTCCCCGAGTGAGGGATTGATCATCCAAACTCTGGTCATAATCGGCCCTTGAGCTCGTTATCTTTAGGAGTTCGGAAGTACGAAAAACATTAATGGGATGTAAAGAGGAAATTTTCTAAAACATAAGATAATTGCAAGGAAAGTACTTCTCTTTATTCTTGTGCAAAACAATTATACATGCGTACATATTTTATGCCAGGGCTCGAGCAATCTATGTGGGCACGATTCGTTTGACTGTTTTGCCCTTACAACAAATCCTACCTATCGAGGCCCTTTTATTACAAAGTAATTTCCTCGCAAAAGTCGATATCCAAGGGTAATGCCCACCATTATTCGAGGTTGATTGTAGAGGAACCTCGGATACTGTTAATGCTATCATTAACACCGATTCGTGATCGACCTTTGATTCTAAGTTAGCACGATCCACTGTTGCCTCGTTAAAAACCTTGCCGAAAAATCCATTTGGGACGAAAACGGTTCAAGGCAAAAAGAGTGCAACGCGTGTTTTCAGACCTAAAGACTTTGTGCCGCTGCTTGTCGATCGCCTGCAAGTGTTAGTCCAAAAATAAAAGGAAATGAAATGGGGTTGTACCTTAGCAGTAATATTTTTTTAGGTGAGTTTCTCCGTTCATCATTCCGAGCTTATAGGATCCTTTCCCTGTGACCTCGAGAATCTGGTATGGTCCTTCCCAATTCGGACCCAATTTCCCTTCGTTCGGATTTCGGGTGTTTGGCGTGACCTTCATTAGCAATAAGTCCTCGATATTGAAGTATCAAACGTTGGCCCTTCAATTTTAATACCTCTCGATCCGTTTCTTTTGGGCGGCCAATCGAACAAGGGCGGCTTCACGCCTTTCCAATAGCTCCAGGCTCGTATTCATGGCCTCGTCATTTGATTCCTTTGTTGCATATTGGAATCTGATACTTGGATCCCCGACTTCGACTGGTATTAGAGCTTCGGTTCTATAAACCAATGATAACGGGGTATCCCCGGTGCTGGACTTTGAAGTTGTGCGATATTCCCAAGAACTTCGGGCAGGATCTCTATCCATTTTCCCTTGGCGTCGGTCAACCTTTTCTTAAGGTTTTGGATTATGGTTTTATTGGTCGATTCGTCTTGTCCGTTCCCACTAGGGTGATAAGGTGTTGAAAAGATCCTTTTGGTCTTATGATCTTCGAGAAACTTGGTCACTTTGCTGCCGATAAACTGTTCCAGTTGTCACATACAATTTCGGACGGCATCCCAAACCAACATATGATGTGGTCCCAAATGAAGTCAATGACTTCCTTCTCCCTGACCTTCTCGTATGCCTGTGCCTTAATCCTCTTAGAAAAATAGTCAGTCATAAATAAAATAAATTGAGCCTTACCCGGTGCCCATGGAAGAGAGCCGATGATGTCCATTCCCCACTTGATAAATGGCCATGGCGACAACA